TTGCTCTCTTTTTTTCAAAGAAAAGCATAACAACAGGTAATTGGTGCTTGGTTTATTACGGGATAATGACGTGTTCATGGGTCATAGAAAGCATTTGAGGAGGTGAGAGGTAGGTATAGGGAGTTTTATAAAAGCATCTTTTTCTATAACGGCCCAGTTTTATTTGTTCCAGTTTATTTTCTTCAAGTCCGCGTTCGATGATGTGATCTCGAAGTTGGTAAATGAACTCGAACCATGTATACCACCGCACGTCTGTAGAGATATTCCCATAAGGTAAGAATATGCACAGAAGCTTCCGGTGTAGTTATTTCAGTGTAGTTGTTTTGGTTCTTCTTAATGTAGTCCATCAAAATTCGGTGCTTATGGTGAATTTTTTGCTCTTCTATTTTTGTATCTGTTCCGATTCAGCAATGACAGCTGGATTTCAGGTTATTTGTTGTGTTTTGGATGCTTTCTTCGTACGATATTGAAGTACCAACAGCAGCTTATGAGAGGGCCATAGAAAACATTCGGCGACAGATGAAGGAGGCTGCGGATTCACCTGTGATGGTAGGTGCAGCGCTACTTGTTGTTTGTATAAGTACGCCGCATTATTGGTTTATGGAAATTCATTTAGTCTTTTGTTGGTTTTTCAAACGTATTTTTGTTGAACAAACCAGGAAGGTGTTTAAGGTCGTGCCTCACTTGAAAAAACAGTTTCCAACATGATATAGGGGCACATGCATGAAATCGGAGCAATCGTTTTTCCTGACAATGAGCGGTCCTTTGACTGACAGATTATGGGTTAGAAAGGGTCAGAAAAGCTCAAACGCCACACCTCTTTGGCATCAGTTTAGGAAAAACCTCATTTAGCTTACTTATGGTCCTGATGGTAATATAGCATCCATTACCAGCCGCGGCACCATCTTGGGACATACGCAAGCGTCAGTCGAAAATGCTAAACCTCGTCACCACGCGGGATCGAACCGTGAACCAGTCGTTCGTCGCTTTTTGCTGTTCATAGGGCTGCCCAGGAAAAATGAAGCTCATGTATAGGGACAATTCCATGTTCCATGCACATGTCCCTATATAATGCAAAACACCTGTTTGAAAAAGCTGGGCACGATCTGGAAAATCTTTCTGGTAAGCAAGCTCCGAATCTTGTAAAACGAATTTGTTTTGTAATGCTTTTGAGAACTTCGCACGTTTGATTTTTGTTATTTCGAAAAGGCCATGAATATTCATTTAGAAACCTATCAAAAATAATTTTCAACTTCATGTAGAACTTGAAAAGGAAATCATAATTTCTGGCCTACTCTATATTTATAGTTTCGAAATTCTTTGAGAGTCATCGAAGTTTTGCAACATGCCTTACTATTTAGCACAAACGCTCACTTATTCGAAAGGCTAGCCAGCTCATTTGCTTGTT